GGCGGGCATGGTCATGGTGGCCACGGAGGTCATGGCGGTCATGGTCACGGGGGCCATGGCGCTCATGGTCACGGAGGTCATGGCGGTTATGGCAGTTATGGAGGCCTTGGGTTCCAGGGCTTCGGCGGCCAAGGATACGGAGGAAACTTTGGCTACAATCAACCGTATTCTCAATACGGCTCAGGGTTATACCAAAGACCGTTCCAAAATGTGGTATCTGCTGCGGCCTCAGGTTTTGGTACAGCTATAGCGGACTACTTCAGTCGACCGAGGAGAACACAAAAGTACATCAACAAACAAGTGAATCAGTTTCTGAGACCGTTAAATAAGCTGATTTAATGTGATAGTGCTCGCAGTGGACACTTAGAGATTACTATTAGAGATTACTAAAGTTAAGGCCGGCGCTGAAGCAACCGGCTGTTTTGCAATGTGAGAGCAAGTCGAACTTGCCAATGTGTTATATAATAAAAAATATAAATTTATAATAAACAAAAGTGATTGCATATAATACTTTGGAGTAAAATGAACAAATGTTTCATAGTACATCTATGTTATTAAAAATATGTTTTAAAATTCAGGTTTTTAATTTTTAAAATGATTCGTCTAATATTAGCAAGTTCGGTGTCTGTATGAATGTGGTTGTAGTGTTGTAAAAATATTGATAAAAATGTGTAAATTCTACAACTTTTGGTAGACATTGGTTTATAAGTTACACAAAATTTAAATTACTTCTTGAATACTGTACATGTGTTATATTTAGATCGTGTAATTTAAAACACCATGTAGTTCTTGTATTTCTGTATTAGGTTTCATCACTTTTATCATGTTATAGAAAGCATGTTAAAATCTACTAAACACAATAAAAAGGGTGTGCACTTATCATAGATATGAGTGTATAAACGGGAGGATAAATGTAACAAGATCTACCAAAAATTCAAGAGAGGCGCGTGCAATTACTATTTTTTTTAAAAAGAAAGAAAAGTCTTTTTTTTTACTTGTATAGTACACGTAAAAAAAGACACCATACACACATAGTTCATTGCTATTGTTTTATACTGATGTCTGAAAATCGGACAGTGAAAGTGTTAAATTAGACGATTTACTTTATTATTTGTATATGATTTATGAGACCATAAAAATACAGTTTAGTTATTAAAAGTTGTGAATATAAAAATGTAAAATAATAAAGTGTAGTTTCAATTTTATATGTTAAAAGTTTGTTGTAATATGATATTTACCAAGCAATTCGTGACACCTATTAAATATGTATATTGATATTTCCTTTGTGTTTTGATGTACCTTTTAACAGTAAATCGTTTTAATTTCCGAGAATTCCAAAAGTGTTGACAAATAACATAATTAATTTATAAGTCGTAACAAAATTTATGTCATGTATTAGTGCTATAAATAAGTGCACAACCCTTAGAGTATTTTTATAGCTTGCTTATAACTCTAGTCACAACTCCATATCATCCCGGCTGGGTGTTGTAAGAGGCGACAGAAGAACACCAAAACAGGAGATAGGCAGCAGCGTGTTCCTGTTAACAGCTCGAAACCTGACTGTAACGTTAAAATACGGCGCATATCCCCCCTATGAGGCAATTTCGTAACCTTGCAACAACGTAATAAAAATAAAGAAGTAAATTGTATAAATTACTTTACGAGATTACATCATAAATTAATTCCTAGCTAAGCAAGTTTTGAGTTCGAGCGAATTTATTTCAAAAGCGTTTGCGATTGCGACTGAGACTTTTTTGTATTCACTATTAATTATTGTTATTTGATTGCTTGCGAATCGTTGTAAAATGCTATTGTAATTTTTTTTTGATAATATATGTATAATATGTTATTAACTAATTAATGTGGGCATTATGTACAATTACTGGAAAATATGAACAATGAGAAGTCAAATGGAGCCATTAAATATTAAGGGATTATTAAATATTAAAACTTACTTCCATTTACTTGTATTTCGTGAGTTTTTATTTAGGCGTTCTAACCTTAACCTAGTGATAGGACACTAAGAAATGCATTAAAACTCTTCTTAAGATATTTTTATTGATTGATTTTTAGAATAAGTGTGACAAACGAACATACAGTCCATCTGATAATAGGTGGATGCTGTGGCCCATAGTCGTCTATATTTATCCTCGATTAAGAATGCAGACCCGGATTCGATCCCCGCCGGCACCAATGAAATTGTTAATTGCAATTTTAAGTGTTGATTTACCACGTGCTCGGCGGTGAAGGAAAACATCGTGAGGAAACTTGCATGTCTGAGAAATAAGAAAAAATTATATTTCGAAGACATGTGAAGTTCTCCAACACGCATTGGACCAGCGCGGCGGACACTTCCTTGCCCTAAAACCCTCTCAGAAATGAGAGTAGTTCTGTGCCCAGCAGTGGGACGTATATAAGCTGTAACTTTAAATAATGCAGATACGGTGTCACGCCTGAGGTTAGTCAGGTGGTATGCCTCTTTCCAGTAAAAAATGTCTCTGGTTCTCTACACTCACCATACGAAACACGGCAGCATTAAGCAGCTATTTAATGCTGGTGTTCTCTGTGAGGTCGTAGTCCCCGGTCGAGCCTACCCATTCGTGCTACAACCTTAATATAGCTGCAGCGTGACTCTACCATGTCTAAATTGTTTATGTATTTAAAACAAAATTCATTCTCTTACTTCAAATTCTCGACACTCGCAATGTCGTCACCTGTAAGATAAAGTACAATAAAGCTCCTCCTCGCTTCGTTCGTCGTCGCACTAATATGGTTATGACCTTCACTTAGAATTAGAAAAAAACATGCGTGAGTGTCGTGGATCACTCGGTTGGAACGAAGTTCCTTTCGTAGTATATTACTGTTGATAAGCGTATTATTTTATTGATTATAACAAACATACATATACAAATAAATGAAATACTGGCGTCTATTAAAATAAAGCGTCATATAGAATAATATTCTTTATATAAGAAAAAGTGAGAGGGAGATGTATTTTATTTCATCTCGCTCGCAGTACGTATAGAAAGGGGGTTATGACGGAAAAATCTTACACTTTTTCTCACGTAGCCCCCATCCGTGAAATTTGTACCGTGCGATAAACATTTTCACAGACATTATTTTATTAATAATAAATATTATTAATTTAGTGTTTTTTAAAGCATGGTTATTGTGATATTGCTCTATTATATTGGGCACTTTTGAAACTGTTAGAGCATAGTACTCTAATAATGATATATTATATTATTAACCACAATGTATCCAATACCTAGTAAAACCGTTCTTTGAGCACAAACACGCAAATATTTTAAGTCTATTTGGTTGAGCACAAATCTTGTTTTGGATGGTGTAAGGCTGGTGTGGTCACAATTTTTTTTTTTAAAACGTTACCCGCACAAGAGGATTTTCTCCTGTATCGTGGAGGCAGTTTACAAACATAAATTGCACAAGGACAAATATCCAGACTCGGAACAATTATTTGTAGGCCATACAAACACTTGTTCCGTGCGGGATTCGAACCCGCAGCCCCAAGCGTTGCAACTCATTGCTAAGCCACTGCGCCACGGAGCCGTCATCACAATCATGATATAACTGCGTTTTCATCAGTTCTTAAAAGTCTGAAAAAAATGGATTGGTTAATCAGAACTGGGTGAAAACTAGATAAAATAAAATAAAATAAAAAATGTTGAAATCAATGTAACGTGAAATACTAAATTAAATACACAATAATGGAAACTGCTAAATTAAATCCACTTATTGACGGCTCCGTGGCGCAGTGACTTAGTATAGAGCTGCGGAGTGGCATTTCAAATCCCGCACGGAACAAGTATTTATATGGATTTCAAATAATTGTACGGGGTCTGGATATTTGTCCTTGTACAATTTATGTACGTAAACTGTCACCATAATACAGGAGGGGGACGTTTTATAAAAAAGGAACATTCAAGCGTAACGCACGTTAGTGAAATATTTTGTCCACTTGTTGACTTATCTGTTTACTTGGCTTTAATTATACTTGACGCGAATATTCAATGAGGGTCCTTTATATCACCAAAGAGAATATAATCACTGATTTACAACACTTAATTTTGCAGCTATATTTATAGTTGAGTTGAGGTCAGAGTCAGTAATTTTATATCGTAAGCTTTTACAACCAAGCTAATTATTAAATGAGGTGATCGCCACCAAGCTCTTTGTTTTGTGTTGCTAATTGTGTAAGATACATGATTGTAAGCTGTTATTTTTTTTAAAGTCCCGCTGTGTTTCGTACTGGTTCTTCCCAGGGACAGAGCGTTTTTTCCGAACCAGTGTTAAATTAAACAGAAGAGTGACTTCAATAAGTATTATTTATAATCTATATTGAATAAAAAAGTTTCTGTTTCTGTTTCTTAAACAATAAGTGCATGACAAGTTTAATACAAATACAAGGTTGATAATAACCCCACGGGTATGAAGTAATGGCTATAAATATAGCTGTTTCTAAATATTTTTATTTATAATTAAGACTTGAACACTTAGTTAAATAACATATTGTGAACTATTATTTCCTAAAAGAAAATCCCATCGTGTTTGTTGCTGATTTTGCCAGCACAAAGGCTTTTCCCGAACCACATTCCTCCGTATCATTTAGAAACTTGATTACGTAAAAGTTATTATATTTCTATGACCAATATTCATTGTTTTTATGTAAAACATTTGATTGATTTTTCTAATCACGTTTTTTTTTACATAGTGAATTAACTTGATTTAAGTCAATGCGCATCTAGACCTAAAATATAAAATGTTGCAGCGGACAAATTTCACAACCCTTATTTTATCTGCTTTATGAAGTTAGTAATGGACGAGAGATATGAAAATGCTATATTCAGTAGCAACTTTTTTTTAACTGACAACTTGTTTCCAAACATAACCCACCGCCTTGATTGTAACACTGTGTTACATAATAACTGTTGTAATAGTAGCAATGTTTAAATTATTTTCAATATGTATCTCTCTTACAGCAATGTCTCGGAAGGCTACGGTGCGTATCAGTCACAGGAACAAATTATTGTTCCAGACACCAAGAGCCAAGACTTCGAAATTGGAAAGTCAATTGAGGCGACTGATGGACATCACATTGTTTCACATCCTACATCGTAAGTAGATCCAACGATTAATTGCTTTAATATATTGAATATCATCATCATCAGACTGCGGCAGACCACTGCTGGGCATAGGCCTCTCCTAAGGCGCGCCACTTATCCCGATTTTAGGCTACACGTATCCAGTTTCTACCAGCCTACTTACACAGATCGTCGCTCCAACTGGTCAGAGGGCGTCCCACACTACGCTTGCCTAGACGCGGTCTCCACCACATGACACGTCAACTCAACCGGTTGCCCCTCACATGACCAGCCATGACCAGCCCATTGCCACTTATATACACACTACTTATATATCGCAAAAAAATTGCGCTCTTAATATAATTATTCTTTGTAATATTAGAGTTACAAATTACAAACAATGAGGCAACAGTCCATCTGTTGGAAAGTCGATTTTGCATTTAACCAATGAAAATAACTTTAAATCAAGTGCTTTGATTACATCATGATGTATAAAAAGGTAAAAAGTTGAAGTTAAGCTATAGCGCTCCCCGATCTAAATTATCCAAATTGTGTTTTTAGCCCAAGTTTTTGACACTGTTTTCGTATTGTTATCGACTAAAACTGTATAAAAATATGAAAAGCGCTCCTAGTTATATTTTTAAAAGTCTCGGCCATTTTTAGTGGATGACTATTATTGGCATTGGCCTTATATAAAGACATATTATTTATGCATAATGTATCACAGAATGAAGGCTGCTCCCATAGTCACATCGGGAATAAATAAAGTTAAAACTAAACGCTATAAAATCCTTAAAAGCAGTTTTATTGAACGTGTTGTATTCTAGCAAGCTTGAGAAATCATTCAGATACAAATTTTGAATCTTTTATGATTTTCATGTCTTTTCAACGTCGAATTTCCGCTAGATATGCAGACACGATGTTGCATCTGTTCCGAGGCAATATCGGCTCCGGTCTCTTGGCGATGGGAGACGCGTTTAAAAACGGTGGTATTGTGTTCGCCACCATTTCCACCGTTTTACTTGGCATCATTTGCGTGCACGCACAACATTTGCTGGTAATTTTTTAAATTGTCTTATAATTTTTTAAGATATATTTGATTTTCGGTTCGTTAAGCTACTAATGTAACGAGTGCTTACAAATAATACAAACGAAGGACTTGCCTTTTTCTTAAAATTTCAGTTAAATTGTTCGGAAGAAATGTATCGTCAAACAAAGAGGGACAAGCCTCCCGGTTTCGCGGAGACGGTGGCGCTGGTGTTCGCTAATGGCCCCACGAGACTTCGCCCCCTCGCCAGTACAATGCGGGTGCTTGTCAACACGTTCCTTTGTATCACGCAGCTGGGATTCTGTTGCGTTTATATTGTGTTTATTGCAAATAATATTAAAATGGTATGTTATTATAAATTGCTGGCCTTAATTATTGACATCAAATTTTATGACATTTTATAAGTGACCCTTTAAACGAATCCTTCATATAACGACTAGCGACACGCCCCGGCTTCGCCTGGATAGGATTTATTAATGTGGCATTTTTAGAGTTAAGATAATCAAAGACCATTAACTTCACCAATTTTTTTTTATCAAATCTTTATGTTTTTCGGATAAAGTATTATAGATGCCTGTAGCATATGCGAGTAAAAGTTTTTATTTTCAGATTTGCGACCAATACAATATCCACATTGACCTCTCAATCCACATGATAATAGTCGTAGTGCCGGTTCTTCTGTCCTGCATGGTGCGTAATCTAAAATATCTGACACCGTTCTCCACTATCGCCAACTTGTTAATGGCGATCGGAGTCAGCGTGGTGGTGTACGAAGCGGCGCAGGATCTGCCACCAGTGGAAACAAGAGTTTATATGGCATCGTGGCAATCGCTTCCATTGTATTTTGGAACTGCTGTTTATGCTTTCGAAGGGATTGGTTTGGTGAGTTGCTATATTTTAAATGTAAGTTTATTCTTTTTTTTTTCATTAATTAAACGAACTGGATAATCATCCAAAATAACATAATGTCATTTTGACAGCTTATGTTAGTTATGGAAATGTTAGGACTACCACAACCATCATGGTAATAATAAAACGGTTTAACTCTGTACATAGCTTTCATGGGGAAATTATTGCATGGCAGCTTAATGGCGCGAAGTATTATAGAGTAATACACCTTATTTCGGACAATCTTACTTTATTTTACCTACCAATTTATCAGTGCCATAAAGTTATTTTTCTAGTTTTATATATCGCCTATCAAAAGTGTACTGCTCCTCCGTAGATTATTTTACAGGCGGTATATTTGCCACAGTAGCCACGCTTACCAGGTGGGTTAGTAACCGCAGTTCTTAAGTTGTTCTTAGGAAGACTGTGCAGTCAATCTTTTATGTCACTATCTCATTTCCAATGGAACATTAATTAGTTACTTAGTATAAAAGTGTGACCTAAGAATAAAGTACAGACACAATTCGTTATAGTGTTTAAGTGTTATTCGTGTTTGTTGGTAATGGTGATCATTACTATGGAATGAAAAAAATATATATAAAAAAAAGATAATTTTGTTCCTCAACCATCAGTTCAAATTAAAAATTTTGTACAACCGATTTCAATATTTTATTTACAATAACTCGATTATTAACAATAACTCAAAAACTATTGGTCAGACCTTGATCATTAGTTTTATATTTTATATGAGCCCACACAGACCAGAGAGACACCAGTTTCAATCATCAGTAGATTTCGGTTCACCCAGAAAAAAATTATAAGGTAACACACACATATAAAAAGAAAAAAAGAACATAATATAGTCGAATTGTCTCCATCTCCTTTTTGAAGTCGGTAGAACAGTCCGGAACGTGAGCTCCCGTAACGCGTACCATATTTAAGACTTGCGTTTTTCGTCATTAATAGGTACTGCTACTCGTCTCTGTTTGAATATTTTACATTTGGAATAATTTCGAGATTGTTATCTCTCGACATCTATCTAAACCACAACCCTTTCACATCCATATTTAATTTCCCCAAGTTGTTTCATTCGGAAGACAAGATATTGGGTGGTATTTTCCCTTACCCGGCCACCAGGAAGCAAAGATGTAGTCAAATAATATGTTTCTGTATTTCAGGTACTACCTTTGAAGAATGAAATGAGAAAACCTGAGCTCTTCCAGAAGCCGTTTGGCGTTTTGAACGTAGGAATGGTAGTTGTTGGGTGCATATTCATTACAGTTGGCTTTCTCGGATACCTAAAATGGGGGGACGACGTTACTGGCAGTCTCACGTTGAACTTGAAGCCCGGCCATATGTAAGTTTATTTCCTTCATTGCAGAAATATAAAAATAATGTAAAACCTTTGATTGACGAGCTCAAACTAGATCTGAGATTAAAAGAGCGGCTCTTCTGCATGTGAATCCATCTGAGTTGGCACCACCCTCTTTCTCTTAACTATTTCTTCCGTCACAGAGCAGTGCACCAACTGCGGTAATCTTGTGAGGTTTTTTTGAATTAGGGGTACAAACGAGCACATAGCTCGCCTGTGTTAAGTGGATGCTATGGCCCTTAGACATCTTCATCTATAATCAAGGAATAAGAATGAAAATGCAGGTGCATTGCCTCTCCTGAGGACTAAGATGGAATGCCTCATTTTCAGTAAAAAGGGTATCCGGTTCTCTACACTGACCACACGAAACACAGCAGAATTAATAAGCTGCTATTTCACTGTGGTATTATTTGAGAGGGGCCAGCAGCTGGCCGACTTCATGGATAAAGAGGGACTCTTTATGATGAACTCTTTCTTCCAGAAGCTGCACCACACGAAGTGGACCTAGTCGAGCACTGACGGTTCGACAAAAAATGAGATTGAATTCATAAGGACGACCAGGCGAGAACTATTCAGTGACGTCTCAGTGATCGCGAGGGTGAAAACCGGCATCAATCACCGAATGGTGAGACGCACACTGAACCTAAGTTGAAGAGGTCACGTCTAATGAAGTCAACGCGCTGTCCGCCTCGTGCTCTAATTGCCCGAAACCTTTCAGCTAGAGTTGTAACCGTCGGTTTTGTAAAACGGTTTTCAGTGCCTAGAAGATTGCAATACAGTGGACGATATGAATGGCAAGCTCGTGGAAACTGTCCATGCAGATGGAGCTAAGTTCTGCAAGACCCGCAACAGAAGAATACAAAAACTCTCCGATCACAGTCATTGCTGTTAGACGGGAAATGAAGTTCAGTAGATTTTACAGCATACGGGCAACTGAACAGACAGATCTCTAAATGTATGCGGCGGGACTTACGCAACTTTAATACTGCTCCTATTAAAGAAGAGATCGAGCGGAACCAGGGCTCCAAACTCTTTGCCAGAGATCTGTCTGCCAGAAAGAGCCAACTGTCGAAGCTGACGACTGAGTGTGGCAGCGTCGTTTCTGGGACACCTAAGATTTTGAATGAGATTGATAGGTTCTATGGGCAGCTGTACTCGTCATCGTTGGAGCCACACGCAAGTGGAATACGGTGCGGAATTCCGTTTCAGGATTCCGTTTCGGAATTCCGAACGGGTCGGCCACACACATACGGAATCCAGTGTTGCCCGCAAAATTTCGAACGGAAAACTACCGAACGTGTGTGATGGATCATAGATTTTACATGGACTAACTGCGTTCGGAATTCCGAATTGGAATATCAAAACGGAATCCCGAAACGAAATTCCGTATGTATGTGGCGGGTCTTATTTGGACTTGCTGCGTTCGGAATTCCGATTCGAGATTCCGTTTTGATATTCCAATTCGGAATTCCGAACGCAGTTAGTCCATGTAAAATCTATGACCCATCACACAAGTTCGGTAGTTTTCCGTTCGAAATTTCAAAACGGGATTCCGTATGTGTGTGGCCGACCCGTTCGAAAATCCGAAACGGAATCCCGAATCGGAATTCCGTGTGTATATGGCCGGCATTAGAGAGCCAAGATTTTAAGGTCGGCCACATATATACGGAATTTCGTTTCGTTCGGAATAACAAGGGTCAGTTGAGAGACGTTAGCCATTGAGTCTAGACATTCTGCCAGCGAATAATGACGACGTCTTTCGACGATAATTCGTCGTAAGAATTTACAGACATCCATATTTAAAAAATATCTCTGGATAGATAGATCTTTTACATAATATTGACTATATTGCAAGCTTAGGGTGATAGGGGTATGCACCTAGTAAGTATGATAGCAACAATGGAATCGCAATCAGAAAATCATCGTCATTATTCCCTGGCAGAATGTTTAGACTCAATGGCTAACGTCTCTCAACTGACCCTTGTTATTCCGAACGGAAAAAAAACGTATGTGCGTGATGTATTCACGGATTCCGAAACGGAATCACTAAACGGAATTCCGTTTGTATGTGATCGACCTTAGTCCTCAGGGATGACAACGCATCTCTTATGAAACGCCTTTTTTGCATGAAGTTGACTGCAGGTCAACAGATTGCAGAAGTCACCATCAGGTGTACTGTAAGTTAGACTGGACTGTAGTTTTATAAAAAAACGAACATTTACACGTACGAATTCGCACGGTACGAATTTGACGGATAAGGGCTAGGCGAGAAAAAGTGTAAGATTTTTCCGTGAGGAGCCCTTCTGACGTAGTGTAGACGGCCTTGGCGGCTATAAGGAAGCAGGATGGAATAACGTCCATCTCCCTCGCACTTTTTCTTATCTTGCCATGAAAGAAATATTATTTTATTTTAAATGACGCTTCATTTTAATAGACGCTAGTAATTCATTTATTTGTATTTGTTAATCAATAATAGAATACGAGTACGTTTGTCAATAATAATATAATACGTTTATCAATAATAATATACTATCGAAAGGACTTCGTTCAAACGGAGTGTTCCACCACACACGCGCATGTTTTTTTTATTTATATTAACTATATTTTTTTCTTAATTTGACAGACTCAGTAACGTGGTACAAGGTCTTATAGCGATCGCAATGCTATTCACATACCCGCTTCAGTTCTACGTTCCGATCTGCATTACGTGGCCAAGACTAAGAAAAAGATATGCCAACACCTCCCCCGTGATAAAGGAATTGGGCTACAGATCTATCTTGGTGTTGCTTACGTGTGAGTATAGGAGTTTTATAATTTTGATTGATAAACCGCACATCTTATGTATTCATTAGTAAACGTCTAAGTAAATCATAATAAAAATAGTAAAAACTACTAAGTTTCTTATAATAATAGTAATAATTATAAATAGTATAACATAAATTGATATAACGCAGCCAAGAGTAAGGATTCAGTACGCGCGATCAAACGGCTGTTGGTTAGGGAGAAAGGGAAAGAAACCGGCGGGCAATGTAGGCGATATCGTGGAGCAACGCCTTCTTCCCGAGGAGCCCGGAGCAACCTGACGACAGGCTGACCGGGATTAATCCCTTCGCAGAAATAACTACAGAAATAATTTCGGTCGGCAGATCACCCCATTATTCGGTCACTTCGTAAGCTAAGACCAGATATTTTACTTTTTGATTTTCACGAAGTTCGCGTCTTACGGAATGCTAATGTTGACCAGAAAACGTCCTTGACTGTGACCAGTCCATCACCACAATATAAGGCTTATTCTCAAGAATATTCCACTGTGTGTTGATGACCCGGACCTACGAGTAGAAACTGGTGCGGTCATTTTCGCGCACAATAAAAACACAAATTTATCCCACAAACTCTGGTTAAATTTATATACCCACACGCAGGCTTTTGCATTTTAGTTGTTGTGACAGAAGCCAAAATTAGGAGACCAAGAGACAAGAGATCCAAGCACATAATTATGGGCTCTTCTGACTATAATGTGTGTGTGTGTGTGTGTGTGTGTGTGTGTGTTTGTGTGTGTGTGTGTGTGTGTCTATATATATATAATTTAAGGTTTAGCCGTACCATGTACCTATTATATTAAAATATTTTGCGAAATGATCACTATAGTTTATATGACAAGTAATCAGTAAAGTTACAGCCTATATACTTTATATATTTTAGGTATATATATATATATATATATATATATATATATATATATATATATATATATATATATATATATATATATATATATATATATATATTACTGAATAATATTGAATATATAGATATAGGGAAAGAAAGTGTCCGCCGAGCTGCCTCAATGCGTGTTGACGGACTTCACATGTCTTCATTTCTTAGACATGCATGTTGCTTCACGATATTTTTTATTTTCCTTCACCGGCGAGCAAGTGGTAAACCAATTTTTCAATTAATATCAGGTAGATTTCAGGTGTGTTAAATTTTTTTTTACAGTTATCCTAGCGGAGTCGATCCCGCAGCTTGGACTGTTCATTTCCTTAGTGGGAGCGATTAGTAGCACCGCCTTGGCGCTCGTCTTCCCGCCGCTTATCGAACTAGTGTACAAGTCGCAGACCTCCAAGGGAATACCAATAGTAATTCTAATGAAAAATATAGTTATAATCTCATTAGGACTGTTTATTTTTGTAACAGGAACATACGAAAGCATTGCATCTATCGTAAGAGCATTTCAATTATAAGCTAATTTAAAATAAGTATTGGTATAAGTCTATTTATAAGAATTATGACTATATTTTGTTGTAAGTATGTGATTGTAATCTATGAGATATCTGGTCCCCTCGCATAATCAAACACATGAGTGGTGAATTAAAGAGAAACGCTACAACTTAAAACCGTTAAATCAATCACAGATAAAACTATTTCGATAGCTGCGTAGCGCAGGATAAGCATTTAAGTGGTTCGGGTTGAAACTCTGAACGGATTTGTAAGTTTGTATGGGCTGCAAGTAATTGTTTCAGGTTTAAATTATTGTAATTTAAATGCACATAGCATTTCATTTATGTGAAATACCTCCTCGATAAAGGAAAAAATCGAATTGTAAATATTTTTGTATTCTTTCTTATACAAAAATATTTAGAATTGGACTTTTTCCTATAAAAAAATAAAACTACTTCGTTTCTTTCTTAATTCATTTTGAAATTTTTGTTAAAGGTCCAATAATATTAAATTTATAATAGTTAAAAAAGCTTAACTAATATTATCAAGATTTAGCGTTTATATATTCACAAAATATGACAGATTTTGCTGCTAGCAAGTCGACATCGCTGTTAAATCTATACTCATATAATATTATTAAGAGGTAAAGTTTGTGAGTTTGTTTATGGGAAGTAATCTCTAGAACTACGGAACCGATTCTAAAAATTCACTTTCATTTCACCAGTAGAAAGCTACAACAATACTGAGTGACATAGGCTATATTTCATTGTGATTAATAATATTTTTGATGTGAAATAACAATATTTGTCAATCAATTCCGAGAATAAATCCTAAATACTCAGTACTAAGATAATTTCATCACAAGTAAAAATGTTTGACGCCCGACAATGTGGGCACGGGTCAGCCAGTCACAAATAAAAGCAAATCGACTTAGCTTTTAGTCTGTTAAAATGTTTTGAGTTGTTACACCTTTAAGGTGCTATAATTCATTTGAGGAATTACTCTACGGAGTCATTGAGCATAATGTGAAGAAAATATGGCCTACATATTTAACTTACGAACTGTATTATTAAATTGCACAATAAGTGTTTATTATATGAACATCGCTACTGTTGCTCAAAGTCGAAATATCAAATATCTAGGTATTAAGACTCCTTTTCTGCGTGGGGAAACCCTCTGACACATTTCTGTCGCCAAATAGCAATGGCAGAGCTGCTGTGTTCCTGTTTAAATGCTATATATATATATAGAGAGAGAGAGAGAGAGAGAGAGAGAGAGAGAAGGGGTAGGGGAACTTCGGGATATGAGGTAGGTATTCCATTTTAGTTTTTTAAGATGTTATATTATCTGAAACTTCAATTGTTTGAACTTGGATGCAGGTACATGTTAACAGTAATTGTGCGTATACTATTTTATATCATACCTTGATCGAAATGAATGTACCTTAAAATTTATCATGACATTATATACTTTTGACACAGAGTAAAGAGTTAGGTCGGTTTCTTTACACATGAGCTTTTGACGTTTAAAAACAAGAGGTAAAAATTTGACGCATGCGTACTAAATTAATAGGTCATTGAATGGGGAAACAATGAGGCACTTTCGTCCCTGAAAGTAGGGTCGAAAAACAAGGTACCATAAATGTGTCTCGCATAGCTCCACCTATAATGTGTGGACTCAATAGCTAAATATATTACGAGAAGATTTTACGTAAGCGTGATTCTTTCCTTTCGATTTTCTGTCAATTTATATAAATTAATATTGATAATTGATATTGATATATTTAAGTATACTTATTATATATACATATTTATAATTCTGGAGCGTGAAATGCCAGTGATGTGCCGTGCAGTTTTTAAATTAAGATTTAATTTATGTCGAAATGTACTAACGGGTTTATATTTATGAATTGATTAAAATATTGCATTGAAATGTATTATTATATTGTGTAGGTGAACCTGTAATAGCAGTTATTCCTTACTTTCCCTCCATCCTGATCAGGTAGGGTGTTGTTAATAATAATGCAGCTCATAAAAATGATAAAGGTATATTATGTAAATAAATCTATTATTTTATTTAGACGTGATATTTGTTTATCATATTTTATTTGTATAGAAATGCTATATAAATAGATTTTAATATATTTTTTTAACATTTTCCAAATTATAAATAAAAATGAATTTAAATTACCTACCATAATTTAATTATCTTATGTTAATTTGAATGTAAATGATTCGACTATACAGTTTGAAGTTGATCATATACCTACAGCCTACATTATGTATTTTATTAATTAGTAGTGAATGTTAATTGTAAAATTGAGTAAGTAGATTCAGTAAAAGTAAAAATACGCTGTTTATTTTAGTCGTTAATATTGGTATTATTTACCGATTTATTAACAGTTTATTTAAATTTACGTTTTAAGTTTTAGATAACATGACGATATTTTAAATAATAAACTATAACATTAATAGGCTGCTAATTAGATCATAACCATTTCGCGGACACTTATAGCGAAATTCCCTATTAGTGAGTACAAATTTATTATGATCTTATGAAATGCATTTATTCAGTACTACTTAACTTATGCTTCACCAAGTAATGCCACAAAACACGCCTCCGAGCCACCTGCATCCTTCGACTTCCTGTTCCTGCATGTCTTACCAGATCGTTCACTCCATCTAGTGGGTCCTACATTCTGCTCCACGTACCGGTAGCCACTCGAGATCTCTAGACAATGTTATCTATTTAACACGTCGTTAGAATAAATTACTCGAAATGAACTTGCTTTGTGACATTCCTTGGGGGTGGCTATGTATGTTCAGCATTGAACTTGTGAATGGCTGTAACAATAAAGAGGATATGATGATAGGTTCATAATTATAACTAAAGAAAACTAACAGTGTTGTTACACAATAGATCCAGTTGACATATTATTGAATTGTTAGCCGTTCTACTTCTATTGTGTTTTAATGATTGCAATTTTATGTAGTTGCCTGGTGCCTGTCATAACTTGGTATTGATATTACTGCTTGTACCTTTAAGATTAATTGTTAAAAAGCTGTTTTCATTGATGTACTATTACTTAAATATTTTATACATAATATAAATCGTATTTTGTAAACATCGAATGTTTTTTTTTCTGTTATATACCTACCTTTTATGCATTTAAGTGATGATTATTAATTCATTGTAGAACTATTTAAATAATAATAAAAAAGCCTATTTTAAAAAATAAACAAAACAGTTATAAGTATAGATTTTGCTTTTATTCATTCATCATAAAATCCTTTTTTGGCATTGAAGAGTATTTATAATATCTCAATTAATTTTAAGGCAGATGAGGGGGAGTTATCATCATTGACAGAATAGTTCCGTGAATGTAAATGAAATTTGTGCGTTGTAGTGAAAAAAAATTATTTTAAAATTATAACATCCTATACTTACTTATTTTTTTATAGTTATGCAACTATCACTAGATTATCACTACTTATAACAAACAGAAATTCGTAAATAATCGTAGTCGTCCAGTGAATAGCGTCATAGCTTGAGCTGTGACTGTGATATAACTATTACCTGAAGAAAATGCCAAAGGCATTAAGTCCGCCCTTTGTAATCGTTTTATTAAGTGTACACCTTTGTAATAAAGTGTAAATAAATAAATAAATATTATTACAAAAATTGTGATCTGACTCATAAGTCCTCATAATCCATAGATAATTAAAATATATGGTGGAATGTTGGAATGCTTTTATTTATGTCAATAACCTTTAATTTGATTCCCTTTCCTGATAATGAGTGCTAATAGTTTTTTGCTCACCAGATGTCGATACTTCGGACCGAGGTAAAGTTATTTCTTACACAGTGACACTGTATTTCTTTTGCATAAGTGAAAAGTTGCGTTACCAATAAAAGTTTATTTTTTATTTTTAGTGTAGGTTTTACACAAAATAATGCCTCAGTGATAGCTCGTTAATTGTTGTTGCTCAGTTTTTAACCCTGTCTTCATTTTCATTTCTTGGAATATCGTACCTACCTTGAAACTTAATTTTAATTTAATAATTAATATAAATATAATTAATATTTCAGAAAGCAACTTACTTTTATATTTTCCTAAAAATTTTAATTCCCCTCTATGAAATCTGTCTAATATTTTACCTCGTTCCAAAGTGGCGCAAAATAACGTCGTGGATGCCCCATTAGCCCCAACTGCTCGTTCGATACTAGCCTAGAAATTAGTAGTTTTTCGAAACCGGTCTTAACAACACGTTGTGTCGATAATTTAAAATTAAAAATATTGTACAACCGACTTCAATATAAATTATTAAGTATAACTCAAAAACAATTTTTTTTAACTTGACCACATGAGAAGCACCGCCTTTCAAATAAAAAAAGAATCATCGAAATTCAATTCAAAAGGTTCACCCAGAAAAAAGTTTGAGGTAACACACATAAAAAAAGACATAGTCGAATTGAGTACCTACCTCCTCCTTATTGAAGTCGGTAGAAAATACCTACTTAATTTTACTTTAATAGTTCAAAGTTGTTTTATTATTCACGAACTTATGTTTTTAAAGAATTCATATTTCGTGTTTCATATTGATGTTCATATTCGCAATGATAGGAAGTTAGTTGTTGGCTGATTAATTTATTAATATAATTTTTATGTAAGTATTAAAAAAAAGGTCGGCACCAGTCCCCGGCGGCCCTACTATTCCTGGCTACGGTGGCGACCGTGGTAACGGCGGGAACGTGCATAGAACAGTAATTTGTACGGAATACAATCTGCGTCTCTGCGTGATAGAATCCGTAGCGATGGTATGGCAGCAGAACCAGAGTAACCGACATAGCCTAACGGATCAGTGAGATGAAATGACTACAGGCCAGCCATATTAATCGAAGAACCGATAACTGAAAAGGATGAAAGGCTTTATAATAGCAGTCTCGTACTAGCAAGTGGAGTGTAAGTCGGCATCTCCACTAGATAGAGAGACCAACTGGTAAGACATGCAATAAGTCTATG